GGTCTTACATATAAAAGCTTAGTTTGCATTATTTTCCAATTTTGATAATTTCCTGAAAGTAAACATATTCCAGCGGGATGGAGGGATAAATTAAGAATGCAGAGGAGTGTTCCAGTTCAAGAGCACCAGTGACATTGAATGTTTTTATTCTATTTTCACACATAAACAGAACTAAAAATACAGTGAAACCATTATCCACAGTACTCGACACATCCCTTTTGAGAATACAAAATTACTGTGCAATCACCACAAAAACAGGACACCCCAGATTCTGTGGAGGTTTTTAAGAGTGGATACAGTTTTCTTTAAATTTGGCTTATTGTTGTCACCAAGGCTAGATAATTAATTTCCAAACATTTTTCAGTGATTAATTTCATGTCAAATGTAGACTTAACTCTGAGGCATGCTCAAAATGTCTTCAAATCTGTACAATGAGCTGATGGTTGTGTTTGTTCATGGGGTCCAACTCACTTTTTGAAGTAGTGAAAAATGGCTTTAGGCAAGAGGGCCTATTAAATTGTTTTTCAGGATGAACAAGAGAGAAAAAAGGACTAATTTCATGGAGGGTCAGTGCTTTCCCAAAGAACCACAAAAGACAGTCTATCAGCACTGTGCTCTTTTTGTAATAATTAATAATGTCCAACGTTCAGGGAATTTCCTGGCTATCAACACCCAGCCTAACTGGCAGAGATGAAAATCACAAAATATGGCTCAAGAAAAATACTCACTCTAGATGACCTTGATGCTTTGACATGCTGTTTTCATATTTTTGTATCACCCAAAAAATAGATGACTAATTTCCTTAAAAAATTATTTTGTCTGCAATTCAGTTTTCTTCACCTGCTGCACTGATGTTGTTTTGGCAAAATTATTCTACCTGTGGGGTAGATCAATTGGTTTCTGGGAAAATTGTCTCTAGGTGTGAATGTGTATGTGTCTGTGTTTGCCCTGTGATGGACTGGCATCCCATCCAGGGTTTTCCTTGGGCCTGTTGCTGGGATAGGCTCCGGCTCCACCACGGATGTGAAGGTGAAGAAGCAGTAAGAAAATGGATGGATTCTATGTTTGATTAACCAGACACACAGAGCAGAGTCAGGGCATAGTTGAGTAAAAACTTCTGTAATACGTATCAAGCTACACAATACTAGTTTATTTCTGTATTATTGGTTTGTTCCATGTCTGACAGGCAACACTTACATGACGCATTTCCTTGTGCGACAAAATGATACCTGATTGTTTAAGAAAGATGTGGTTTTCCAACGGATGTTTTTCAGATGGTACTCCTTATGTGTGGAGTCTGTATGGTTCCCCATAAGTCTACATCAGTTATCTCAGGGTGATCCTTTTTCCTCCCAGAGTCCAAAGGCATGTATGTTGGGAGAATAAGAGTTTCTAGATTTTCTGTGTTAGTATGTGCCCTGCAGTGGGTTTGCATCATGTCTATGATATGGTTCTGCCCTGTGCCCTGTGCTTGTACGGTGCTCTCCATCTTATGAGCCTTGCCAGGAATAAGCAGTTTTCTGATTATTAATGGATAAATGGGTTTCCCAGCATTCCGAGGGAATTTCCCAACCGCTAATGCGTCTACAGTGACCAATTTGTACTGTAAATTTCACTAATCTAATGGTTTAGACAGTACAGTACAGTTATAGACTGTAAGAATTGGGGATTTCTAAGATCTTAATGATGGAAATCATCACTTTTTCACTGAAGAAGAGCTAATCTCCCACCAATTTACCACCAATACATGTAGGGGGTGGATGATTGTAAGGGGTCAAGAAACACAAGTTTCTTGTGTAAATTAAGGTAGAACAAATTCAAATGGGTCTTAATCTTTAATGCCCTATTCTAGGCAGAAGAGAGTCACCAACTGATACCTTAAATTCTCATGGGAGTATAAACCAGACCACAGGTTACATAAAAAATACCCAAGAGTGGTTAAAATAATAGGAGGTCTTGTGACCACATCCAGCTTCAATGTGGCAAAGGTACTGGCATAAAATTGAAATGGGGACATCTATCGTTCTTGTGTGTAATACTGCCATAATTTGAGAATTGTGCATTCGGAGAAGACTGCCTTTTCAGGCATAAAAAGTTCCTAAACTGTCTTTCAGACATTATAGGTAGATGTGAATTTAGATGCTTATGCTTAATATTTTTACAGTAGTTTGGGGAAGGGGGGCAGGGGAGTTGAGAACATTCCAGATTTTTGTCATTCCAGATTATGCTGAACTGAATTGGACTCTGGGAATGAATTAATCATGACGCATTATTATATGCTAAAATCACTGAATAAAACTTGTAGAGAAAAATAATGGTCAAAGCAGTTGTGTGAGCATTATTATACATTTAAAAAAAATCATCTGTAAATCCATTTTCTAACCACTTTATCCAATTCAGGGTTGTAGGGCAATTGGAACCTATCTTGACAAGCAACAGGCACAAGACCGGGTACACCCTGAACAGCCATCGCAGGGCACACACAGAAACAGACTTGCACACACTCACAGCAGGGCCAATTTTCCCAGAAGCCATTGTATCTACTAGTATGTCTTTGGACTATAAGAGGAAACCAGAGCACCCTGAGGAAACCCACTCAAACATGTGAACATACAAACTCCCCTCAAAGAGCAGCCAAAGAACTGAACCCAGGGCCCCAGCGCAGCAAAGCACAATGCCATACCATTGCCATACCAACACCATTGAAAAATATAAACAAATACGACTTATTCTAGAACATGTTTTGTCCTCCTGAACACTACATACAGAGTATTACTCTGTGTAAGTACATCTGAAGGAAAAATAATGTATTGGTCAACCTGTAGGTGACACTCTTCCTTCTGGAAGAATTTTCAAGCTGATACCTCTTATAGTGAGTTGATACACTCTTGCCACAAGGAGTGCTGTGCTTTGGATGAGATGTAAACTTAGGCCTGGACTCTTGGTCATGAAAAATCATATGGACCCTTGAAAAGACTTTGGGTTTAACACTGGCATTTTAGCTAAATTTCACTTTAGCCTTTTACCATAGGGCTTGCCTCAAGTTTGTCCTTAGTTTAACTGCTGAAGTCATTAATCACTTTTCCACCTGTTTTGCTGTGTTTGACCCAGGTGGAACTTCACTTTATAAGTGAACGGCTTTGGGACACTTCTGAATGACAAATGTTTTATAAATACGATGATAATGAACTAATTAAGGGTAAATATGTCTATTTTTTTAAATGGATCCCTATATGTGTTTGGTATGCACAAACAGTTTAATACTCGGATACATTGCATGGGTATTGACACCCAGATCTGAAACTGAATAGGGTAGGCCACTGCATCAGCTTGCTGACACGAAAAGAAAAACACTTGATGTTGCTTTTAAAATACCAAAAGCCCAATAATGCTGTGCGCATGTTGTTTAAAGAACAACAGTAGTGTGATAATAATCTCAAGAACTTGGTAGGTTCAGCAGGAAATTCAGTGTGTTAGTGTTATGCACAAAGGCCAGTAATGGATTAAGTTAGTAAAGGTGATACAGTGTTGCAGTCCCCACTCATTGCTTCCACCCATGACAGAAACATCACCAGATCACAGAGGGCCTCATTTCAGTGCTGGAGCTCTGGTCAGGAAGGGGAGATATAGGCCTCAGCCAGGAAGACCAAGCAATAGAAACTCGGGGAGATCAGAGACCGGGGGGAGACTCTACAGAGAGCAGAGGAAAGCTCAGAAATCATCTTCCAGGGTTGCTGGAGCATAATGGGACATATTCTTTGGGATTGGCGGAGTTGAAGGACTTTGGGAATTTCGTCCTATTCTCCGGTGTGATGGAAGGAGGCAGCCCATGATACTGGACGACACTTATACATGAGAGTGGGGCTCTTGGACTTTCTTTTTCACTGCTGGGACTTTTCTTTGGGTTACTGGGGTCTATGAATCTCATTTGTATTGAGTGTGAATGTATATTTCTAGCAGACGCTTCTGTGTCCATGCATTCTGTCTCTGGTCAGATAGTGATGTATTGTAAATGTTAGAAAAATAAAAAGGGCAATTATACAATTACGTAGCACTAATAACTTGTGCTGGACTGTGGGTACAGACATGGTTCTAGAAGATACAAAGAACCTGTTGCTGGGGGAAAAGTGTCCTGGCACCTTAAAATTTCTAGGTGGTGTATTCGGCTATAAATTAAATTATCCTGCATGTTGGGGTCACTACCTGTGATAAATACTCAATGCTGGTCCTTCTAATAAGTGTAGTTCCACATGAAACAGAATTATCTTTTATATCTGTTCAGGAGATTGCTCAATTCAATACACTTACTTCAGTGGTCAGCGGTGAGCTAATTTCATTGAATGCAATACACTTTATATTCTGAAGTACAGTGAAAAAAATGGAAGTACAGTTCAACTGTTTGTACAACGGTGTCTGTAAGACAAGCTCATCCTTGGGCAAATATTAATGTTAATTGTGTTACCCAATACACAGAGGATGTTTTCAGGAAACATTGCTTTAAATTCAGAAAGAAATAAGGGGATGAAGATAACCTTTGAAGGCGTTTATATTGCTTTGGCGAAATAAAAACGGGCAGAAAGCCACTCAAAGTTCACATGAGCTTGGCTCATGGAGGTCCCTAGGTGTACTTAAACAGGATAAGAGTGCCACTGGTGAAAACGCCAAAAACGTTTATTTTGCAAATAGTTTTTTGTAAAACGTACGCGAGTAAAAGGTTACATGTTGTACCACTAAATCAGTTAATCACACTGAACCATATTCCAGCGAAATAGAAATTGGGGAAATACATGGAAAATACCCCATGCGCCTCCAGGTACCTTTAATTTAACAAATAGGCCCCGTTTTAACAACCCCGACAAGGAGCGTTAAAAGCAACGGTAGCCATATGTTATGTCCCCAGCTGGGGGCAACAACACGTACAACCGCATGCTCTCTGTTAGCATTTGTTAATGCCCACAAAATGCACCGTCCCCCCCAACCCACTCACGATAGTAACGAAACGGGTACTGGGCTTTGAGGCGGACTGTGTATCCAAATTTATGCGGGTCCCCGGGGCTGCATTAATTCTACGTGATACCCGGACTGATTTAGTAATATGTGTACTGTCGCTTTAAATACCCCTGCCTGGTGCGCTCTCCATTGATCAATCCACCATTTTCCAACACTAAACAGCAGCAGCAGAGACCGTAGCGACGGAGAGATACCCCTACCTGGAGACACCAGGACCCGGGGCAGACATGGCTGCGAATATGTACCGGGTCGGAGGTAGGAGAAGATAGTTTTTGTGTCGTACACGCATATACATGTATTCTGCACGGCGTGGACTGCTTCTGCACACTCGCAGTCTTCCTCTTTTATTTCTTGTGAAGTGTGCGGCTCCAGTGAGGATGATGAGGGTGACTGAGGAGGATGAGGATGGTGGTAACTGGGACCTCCGGGTTTCTCTATTGTGAAATGTTTCACGAACGATCGACCAAACCGAAGTCCGTGTAGGCTTTTGTAAAGGCACATTCACACTCTTCTTGCGTGTAAAGTTTAGTTTGATTGTTGTTTCACGGATATCTTCTTTTTAAGCGAGGCTTACTTGTGCCATCGCATGGTTTTTAATTTTTTTCAAAAGTGAATCTCCTGTCTCGTCTTAGCCTGTAAGGCTTTTCGGGTGGTGCTCTCTCTTCAACAAGAAAGTCGAAGGGCAGTCATACATGGTTGAGGTTCGTGTTTCGGGACTTACTTGTGAAGGACAACACACACTATTTACTGTATTTTAAAAGTTTTTTTTTCTGCCTTCCTCTCACTTCGCTCCCAACCCCCACCCACCGCCAATAGAAATGAATGGAGGGAGAAATTGAAACATAAATATTGAATCTTTGAAAATAATCCACATATATAGCACTAATCATATTGTGAAGACTTTTATTTTAATTCCATCTGCATTTTTTTCTACCTGTTAGGAGCTTCCCCGTTATGAGCTCGAATTTGTCGTTTCGTTTTCTCTTCACTGGGGGGCTTAGACTTTGGAGTTCGGGGTACTTTTTAAAATTTGCTCTTGAAATGTTTTTCACATTATTATATAGTTACTCTGCTGCAACCATTTGTTGTCCCGCAGAACTATTTTCTTAATGCCCTAACATCGCTATTAAATCTCACGGTGTACTTAGTGTAATTTTATTTTTGACTGAAAGTGAATTTGATTATTTTTACTCAAGCTCTGAATTTGGCGGTGCAAAGAGTTCGGGTGGTTTTCAGGCTTAGGCTGTATTTTTATTTTCTGGGGGAACGGTGGTGGGGGTCTTTATTGTTGCCCTTAAAAAACTCTGCAACCTTTAGATTTTAAATTGTACCAAAACATGAAAATACAGTGCTCCTGGCAAGATGTTTGGGAGTGCTGCCTTCTGAGTCTGTTTTGAACCGTGCTGAAGAACTGAAAAACTGAACAGAGTTACAAACTGACTTATTAGATACATTTATATACCCTCCTTCTTTTTTCAACATGAGGGACTATTGATGACCATAAAGAGTGCAACTTTGCAATTCACTACAGCTACTGTAATGCCTGGCCGTCAAGTCCTGATCGTGGGTGGGCCGGTGTGTCTGCTGCTGTGCATTCCAGCTCTACTCTTGATAAGCTGTACCATCTGGTTACTGGTTTAACTGGACCATTTAACAGCTTCTGCCAGCTAAAAGACATTGAAAAACACTATGGACTATGCAGGCCGTCTGGGACCAGGACGGGACAGTCCTGCTCTATCATGCTGAACAGTAGGTCATTTTGACAGGCTTTAATTTGACCAAAAGCAGTAAGTAATAAGTTGTGAGGGTTAGTTCTGAAGAACAGGATGCCATGGTGAAAGCCAGCTTGCTTACTTGATACTCCATTTGCGTGTTATTGATTGGTTAGACTTTTTCCAGAAACCTCCCCCTAAATCCCTTGGTTCTGCAATCCCTGCAGAATTGAGCAGTTTCAGGGGATTGTTGGACAAGTCCTGAAAACCATGTGTGATTTTCAAGAAGACAGAAGTGTGTCATCCTCCAGTTGCACAGAAGTGAAGGATCACATCATTTTGAGATCATGGTGCTTTGCTTAGGATGCTGTTGAATTGTGAAGTCTAGAGAGACCTGTGCTGGACTTGGGTGATATTACATTGGCTTTGGTGGTGCCAGCTTCCTAAGGGATACGTAGCTTAAATTGTAGCATTGGCTTCTGTAACATTTTTCCTCTTGTGCCAGCAGTTCTAGCAAAGTTAATAGAGTTATCCTGAGGTTGTCCCGGCTCCTGCTTGCAATCAAAAGGCAAATATATGCAATCTCTCCTTGAAGGAGAGTTATGCATAGGATTATTTCAGGGTTTTGAGTATCTGATATAATATCTGTAGGAACAAAAACTCGCTGCATTGAATTTATTCTTTCATTTGGAGATTTTGAATAATATGGGGTCACCTCATGGTCCTCTCTTTCAAAGACTAAAAAGGTTCCATTTCTTGAGCGTGCCGGTGTAGGATGTTCCCTTAAGCCTTGGAACGTATCTAGTTGCTCTTTTCTAGGTTGATTCCAGAGCATCAATGGCTTTTATGGTCTAAATCCATGGTAAAGAGGTTTAAAACCATTTAACTGAGCACTCATAATTAAATTAAAGATACCTATTGTTCAGCAGTTTAAGAGATTTCTGGGGATGTCTGGTAAGTGTGTTAGTATAGGTTCATACTGTCCTCCACTCAATTATAGGTTCTGGTTCTCCTTTGGAATTGCTCTGCCTTGCTCTTAAAAATGTAGTTTTTATGTAGCTGTCTGTATGATGACCATTTGGAGAGTAAAGGCTTCACTCACTGGCAGGTTAATTGGCTTTTGGGAAATTTGGTGTGAGTTGTGCCCTGGGATGGACTGGCGTCCTGTCCAGTGTGTATCCTAGCTTTTGCCTGTTGCTTGCTGGGATAGGCTTTAACTTCCCCGCAACCTTTCACTGGAGGAAGTAGTTTAGGAGATGGGTGGATGAACTTGTGAAAAGGCTCTTAAAAACCCTAAAAGCCCTATACCTGGGGTTATTCAAGGCAAAGTTAATTTTGGGGTGTTTCACCGAAGTGGATGGTTTTTGGAAGTGCAGGTCAGGTTGTTTTTTTTAAATGATGTATAATAAATGGTGTGAAATATGGTCACATTTCTTAATAGACTAGAGCTCAGAATCATATCGTGTTCAAACTGATCCTGAAGTTGGTTTATCTAAAAGTTGTTTTTTAGTATTTACTAGGAAAGTGAGGCCTCTGTCTGAATGGAAAAACCCAGTTTCAGTGCCTCTTGTGGTTGTTGGCATCCATGAAAGAGATCTTCTGATGAAGGTTTAGATTTTATTATTACTGCATTTTGTTGTCTGAAAGGCATAAATGACCAACTATCATTTTTTTTACTCTGCCTGTCATACTGAATCCATCGATGGGAGCAGTATATGGGCTTCTTCTGGCCTTAAGTTGTACCTTATATTTAAAATATAGCGTCTGAAACTGCTATGCTATGCTGATCATTCATGGTGTCCATCAAAACAGAAGCGATAGAGAATAGAGTGTGTACTGCAGCTGCTTCTGACACTTTATTCAGAATAGCATTTCTCAAGGATGAGTACCCAATGACATCCTTAATGACATCCTTATGAGCAACATATAATGGGAGTGTCAGTGCCCAACATGTTGGCCATAAATAAGCAAAAACCGGCATTAATGCACCCAGTAACTCAGTGCAAGCAAAACAATTGCTGTGGTTTAGTACCTTATAGGAATCTAGATCATTAAATGAGCACTTAAAGCTTATCGAGGAGGCTAAGAGAGATGCCCGGAGAAAAAAACAACTCCTGCTCACTGATAGCTCGAAGTAGTGTGAGAAGCACGTTGGATTCTTCTTAGCAATGTGTAGAGTTTTGAAGATGAGACAGGGTTTGGTTTGTACATATTGCTTCGCACAGAACGTACATAGGGCTGGGCAATATATCAAAAATGTATCGATACCCACGTTGAGAATCTCTCACTGGCCTTTTTTTGCTGATGTCGGGATGTTCAGTAAAAGCTTTCCTCACAGTGTGCTTTCATGAGCGGTCCCCTTAAAAAACTACAACACCCAGTCGTCATATCCAGTCACATGCTTCTGCCTCGTCCAACCTTCATTCTTCATTCCAAACACGGAGAAGCGTGCCGGGCATGAGACAACACGAGCGCTCATGCTGAACCCCAGTCTCAAGTACTAATGAAGACCAGCTGGTATCTAAAAAAGATGCAGTGTCGATCGTTGGGTCATATTTTGGCTTCAGCAAACCGGATACTGAGCAAAGAGAAGTCGGATATAAACTCTGTCAGAAAACCGTTTCTGCGCCCAAAAGCGACACGAGCAACTTGTTTCTTCACTTGAAACACAACCATGTTGTGGTATCCGAAGAGTGCATGGCCAAAAGAGAGAGAGACTGACAAACGCACTCATGGCCGAAGTGATTCCCCCAAACAGCTCTCTCTGACACAAACATTTACTAATGCCACTCAATATGCAAACGATTTACGCAGATGTAACGAGACGACTAACGCCATTACATGCTACATAGCGAAGGACATGGTTCCCATAGCTACAGTGGAGCATAGTTGTTTCAAAAGACTCGTTCAAGCCCTTGACAAGACGTACGTTGTGCCCTCAAGAAAATATTTTTCTCAAACTGTGGTGTCAGACATTGACCAGGTTTCATAGTTTCGCATATTTAAAACGTGATCTTTCAGCAAATCATGTTATCATATAATTTCAAGGGTTTCAAAAAAATATAGTTAATTTATCATTATTGAGGTAAATGTGGAAAATTATCGCGATATTGATTTGAGGTCATGTCACCCAGCCCTTGCAGCTCACACGTGGTTAGGACTGGGGACTGTGCCAGGATAGTGGTGTGGGAGGGGCAGGGATATTGTCTTCAATTACCTCACATTGTCACAGTAACCCTTAGTGAGCTGGAGAGGCCAGCCCTGTGACGTGCCCAGAGTTTGCTGCAGTCACTCAGAACCATGGATCCACTATAGATCCATCTACTGGAGGCTCTTCAAGACGATTGCCAATGCCAGCCAGGGTTAACCCCAGGCTGATTTTAGTCTGTCCCATGTTTTAGTAAGGAAGACCTATGTATATTGTTGTCTGATTTCTCTTATGGACCTCAACTGAGCATGGCTTAATAGTTTTGGATCAGGATAAAGTTTGATTTCTTTAGTATTCTGTCGCTGAACAATATCCCAGTCTTGTTACAGTTGTGA